GGAGACAACCGACTGATGGCTGTCACCATGCCAACGGAGAAATGAACACAACACTGAAAAGAAAATAAGGACCTATGGGAAAAACACGGGCGCGTTTTACACTCATTAAGTCTCGCTTTGTAGTGAAAACCTTAGTAAGAAACATCGTATTAATTTCCCCTTGCTTTTTCATAGCATATCAAATGACTATTTAGAAACAACTAATGCATTTTTTTTTCTAAGGTCCCTGTGAATTTCAAATTCCATTGGTTCCAGAACTCCTATGAGTTCTCCCTGAAGCAGCTCCCTTGCTGCCGCACAGCTTGGGGTCCAGGTCCAGTTTTGTAGAACTCTCTGATCCCTCCTGACTGATAACACCCCTCAGCCTCATCCCAGGCCTTCTCACTGCTGAGCTCTGGCCTTTCTCTCCCTCAGGCTGACTCTGGAGGGCCTCTGTCATGCCACATTGATGGCGTCTGGGTCCTGATGGGTGTAGTAAGCTGGGGTTTGGAATGCAGCAAAAGTCCTCCTGGAGTCTACGTCAACGTGACCTACTACCAAAAATGGATCAAAGCCATTATCTCGAGAGCTCGGGGCTCCGGTGGTGACTGTACTTATGTGATTTCTTGTACCCTGCTGTTCTTCTTCCTCTGGCTCTCCTGGGATCCCCCTGAGCCTTGACCCTAACATGATACCAAGACAGGAAGGATATGGAGCTGAACCTGCTGGGGAACTAATGGGATGGGACTGTGGAGAATAAAGCCTTGGGCAGAAAATTCTTAAGAGAGTCGCTGAGATTCCATGGTTTTGCTTTCAGGGTTCTTGATTTTCTTATGTTTTAGTGGTTAGAATGCAAACAGCTGACAAATAAGGCTATCACTTCTGTATGTGATATTTTTTTATTTTTATCTCAGAATAATGTATCTTATGAGGGAGGAAGGATGCTTTCTATGAATAAATATTTGTGAATCTGAGTTAAATAACTACTAGAAAAGCAAACTAAAAAAAAAAACAAACCCACCTATATGTTGTAAGGAAGGGTCTTCAGGGACCTCTATAAGGGGTCTGTTTTGCTGCATCATGGATTTCTTACCTACTCTGAATTTTTGCCTCTTCTATTATCCTTTGTTTCCCTGCTAACCCTCTTCTATCCCTCAGTCCATAACACGAGGTGCATATAAGCAGCTTTGTTCTTTTAAAATTCCTGTGTGAAGTCAGGCGGTGGTGGTGCACGCCTTTAATCCCAGCACTCGGGAGGCAGAGGCAGGCGGATCTGTGAGCTCGAGGCCAGCCTGGTCTACAAGAGCTAGTTCCAGGACAGGCTCCAAAGCAACAGAGAAACCCTGTCTCGAAAAGCAAAACAAAACAAAAAAAAAGAGTAACGGGATTCCACCTGACACATATTTTTTTTTTTTTACCCTCCTCTCCTGCTCCTTGTTGGCACTGCCCTTGGAGCCTGTAGACCACAGTGATCTGAGGAAGCCACAGCTTGCTTCTTACACTGAATTAAAATCCAGCATTTAGACACCCAGAGCATATCTCGATCCTTCGGCCCATTTCCACCTCGTGGCCTTATCCTGTCCGCCCTTCATACCTAAAATACTTCCTTTTGTTCATCTCAATACACTTATTTCTGTCTGCTGCTTAGAAAAGGAAGCAAAGAATACCAACAAAATACATTAGAAGCACTATAGGGAATGGTTTTTAAATTAGGACTTGGGGTGTGGCTTGGCAGTAGAACACAGACCGTGACAAGCAAAGCCCTGGACCCTGTCCCCAGCACCAGGAGAGAAAAATTCACAGGCAATGGGTGAATTGCATGGCACATGAGTTATAGCTCATTAATTCCACTTTCTAAAAACAAACGGAGAAGTATATCTCCTGCGTAACCTAAATATCGACTTGTCCGTGATGTATCTGGGGCTCTCTGAAGATCTGAACAATACTTGTGATTGCATTTCAAAACAAGACTCAAAGTCATTATATACAGTCTCTGTTTCAGTCGCGAAGACACAAGATGGAAAGGATAAGCCAAAGTGTGGGGGCATGGAACTTGTTAATACGTTACTGAAGAGGGAAAAAAAAAATCAATAGACATTTGTATTCACAAAACTAAAATGTCAAGCAGTTACAGGCAAGTGATGTAGTCAGCATCACACCAGCAGAGAAGGAGGACATAAACAAGGGCATCTTTATCCTCTGCTTTGGGAGGGCGCCGCACAGTGCTTCTGATTTAAAATCAATTTTAATCTGCAGAATACGTTACTTCTTGGGGTATCTCATTTTCATATTTGTTACCTTTCCTTTCAAGATGTCTTGAGAAATTTTAATTAAGCTAGGGATTTAATAAATAAAAATTGCCGAAAATCTAGTAAACATTTTCCCCCCTAAAAGCAGGAGGGAGACGTGTATAGTTAGTGACATCCATTTTTTTTTCTTTGTAGCAAGTAGTAGACTGACCCTCGTTTCATTAAGCCACACAGTCGTCCTCACACAGTGAGGACATTACAGAAAGAGTTCCCAGTAGGACCGGAAGCCTGCACGTTGCTAATGTTTCAGGGATGGTACTCACTTCTCCAGATGCTTTCCCAAATGCCCCGTCAAATCTGACGAAATACGCTTTATTTACATATTAGAAAGCAGCCATCTGCAACTTTTTAAAACATACCCTTTCTCCAGGAAGGGAAGGGAAAGAGTTGCTCAGATAACCAGAGCCTAATTTCATTCTCTCTTCCCAATAAACAAGAGGAAATATTCAACCAGATGAAGAAAAAAGACTGAAATTCGCCATTCAAATCCTAATTGCCTTTCGAGATAATTATCTTTAAACAACCCAAATTCTCTCCAGTGTCTTCTAGGATGTAAGGCTTCACTTCCAGCTCCATATGGCTGAAGGAACGAGACTGAGATCAGTCCTGTGGCACTGTGTGTGCCACTTATGACACTCACAGTACTGGGCTGTAATTAACTCAGAATACCCAAGAGTGGAAGGGAGGGGCAGGGAGTCAGCTTGGGGACCCAGGATACTTCAGACATTATTCTGTGTTTAGTCGAAATTAGTGAAAAGGATAAATCTGGGCAGAGCTGGGTGGTGGCAACACGACCACATCTGATCAGCTGTGGATGCGATCTGGAAGTGGGAAGACAGGAGGATGGGAAAGAGAGAGGAGAAATTAAGAATGACAGGGCTCACAGGTCACTGGTCTCGTGGTGAGTGTACCATTAAAAACAAAATGAGGAAGGATGAAGAGAAATGGATTTACTGTGCTCTCAAATTAGGCAAGAGGATGAACGATGCCTCCCGTGAGGATTCCTATGTCTTAATCCCCACAACCTGTAAGTGTGTTTTCATACATGGTGAAAGGGGTTTGCACATAAGAGCAGGTATCACAAAATGGGGAAACTATTCTGGGTTATATAGATAACCCAAAGTGACGACAGGGCTTATTGACAGGATAAGGTCAGAGAATTAGGGTAGAGATGCCCATAGGACACTGTGGTAGCTTGAATGAATCGGCCCCCATAAACTCATAGGGAGTGGCCCTATTAGAACAGGTAGCTTTGTTGGAGTGGGTATGGTCTCGTTGGAGGAAGTGTGTCACTGTGGGGGCGGGCTCTGAGGATTCCTAGGCTCAGGATGCCTCTCAGGGTCTCAGTCGACTTCTGGTTGCCTTCAAGACGTAGAACTCTCAGCTATTCCTCCAGCACCATGTCTGCCTGCATGCTGCCATGCTACCCACCATGATGATAATGAACTGAACCTCTGAAACTATGAGCCCTCCAATTAATGTGTTCCTTTATAAGACTTGCCGTGATCATGGTGTCTCTTCACAGCAACAGAGACCCTGACTAAGACAGACGCTGTGACACAGAGATGCCATAGTGGTGTAGAACAAGGGAAGCAGAGATGTTGCTATAGAGATGAATCGAGGGACCATGAGCCAAGGGATATACTGGGCTCCGAAAATCTAAAAGGTGTGATGGTACACACCTAATCCTAGCACTGTGGAGGCAGAGGCAGGTGGATTGCTGTGACTTCGAGGCCAGCCTGGTCTATGTAGTAGTGAGTTTCAGGACAGTCAGGGCTACATAGAGAAACCCTGACTTTAAAAAAGTAAAATTAAAGGCATGGTCTATCTGTGGGCCTACAGAGGAAATACAGCTCCAAACAGCCTGTCCTGATGTCACGACCAAACAGTCTGTCCTGATGTTACAACCAAACAGCCCTGATGTCACGACCAGACAGCCTAGTCCTGATGTCATGACCAAACAGTCCTGATGTCATGACTGAACAGCCCTGATGTCACAACCAAACAGCCTGTCCTGATGTCACAATCAAACAGTCCTGATGTCATGACTGAACAGCCCTGATGTCACGACTGAACAGCCCTGATTGTCACAACCAAACAGCTTCTCCTGATGCTATGACCAAACAGTCCTGATGCCATGACCAAACAGCCTGCCCTGATGTCACGACCAAACAGTCTGCCGTGATGTCATGACCAAACAGCCTGCCCTGGTGTCACGACTGCTGCCTCCTTAAGAGAGGGGAAGTCAAGGAGCACTTAATCTAAAAAAAAGAATCATTTTCCCAAATTCTGGCTACTGAAAGAAAATCAAACGCCACAGACGTGACCGACATGGAAGGTTTAAAATCTCTGGGCACCAGAGTCCTCACTGTTGCCTTCTGAGCTTGAGGACTTGGCTGTTGTGCAACAACTCCTTCTAAAATGTTGGAGCCAGAGATCTTCTTTTAAAAACTAGCTTACAACAGAAATCTGTGATGCGGCCACTATTAAGCTTCAGAATTGGTTAATGTCATTAAAAATTCCATTTCAATAGGCGAGGTAAAGAGAAATGAAGCATTGTTTGGTCAATATTGTCTATCAGTGAGTTTGAAATAATAAAAAATATTTTGTCTTCGGAAAATCTAAGGTCGGTGGAACATCATCAAAGGCAAGTATCTGAATTTTAGGAGAAATATCCTATCCCCTAGGAGTTCAACAAAGCTATTTTTAATTCGGAAAGAGAGGGATGACATGAAAGATCACAAACAAGGAAAATAAATGAACTCTTGCCTCCGAGACTTCCAAGTTAGTGCCGCACAAGGAAAAAGACGATCCATTTGGCGAGACGAGGCCAATATCCAAGTAGTTCTGAATGGACCCCATCTAAACCCTTCACAAGGTCACTTTCAACTTCTGAAAACACATTCTAGACTTTGAATTTTGACTAAGCAAGCTATGAAAACTGGTATATTCCAAAAGCTCATTGGGCCGGTTTCTAGTTATTTCTTAATAAGGAGCTCATGGAAAGCATCGCACTAAGAATTCCAAAACAAGTTTCTGCCAATAGTTTCTGTCCCTTTAACCTGGCAAAGCTTTAAGCAGGTGAGGAAAATGCCACTACCTCCTCGGATCGCTCTTCCTTCCGGATTGGCCATCCGCTCCAGGTTCCCATGACTCCCAGGGTCTCCCACAGAAACTGCAACCACCTGGTGCGGTTAATGCGAGGTTAGCCTGGGAAATGTGGAAATCGATACCTGTAACCTGTGAGCGGCAGCTTTAACGCCGGCAGGCAGATTTCTGTCTCTTGTTAGGGGTCGCTCCTTCAGCCGGGATCCCAGAAGAGCGCAGGGTGAGCCTGTGCAGCCAGCTGAATACATCCGCGAGAGTTAGCGCTTGTTTTAAACAGCGTTAGTGACCGAAT